TAGACACGATCCCCGATACCAATGTATAGGTATACCATAGATAAGATCCCCGATATCAATACATAGCTACACCCTAAACAAGATCTCCGATACCAATGTATTGGTTTACCACAGATAGACAAGATCTCCAATACTAATGTATAAGTTTACCTTAGACAAGATCCCTGATACCAATGTATAGACAGATCTCAGATACCAATGTATATGTTTAGCCTAGACAAGATCCCAGATATCAATGTATAGGTACACCATAGCCAAAATTTTGAAGTTTCAAAAACTTTTGTAGGTGCGTCAACAAGTCTCCACAAGTTATGCAAGAACTTTTTGTCTGACGTTGCTGCAATATGGTTGTCTATGTAGAGTGTTAAATTTTTTCAATTAATATCTTTTGTTGGTTTTTGTAACAAAAATTGAATTATTATTTTAGTAGTCGAATGAAATAGAAAGCAGTTAGTCAGCTAAAGAGATAAACATATTAAACAATTTTGTGTGTTTTCTTAAAATATTTTAAAAATTTGCTGAAAAATTTATCAAAAAATACTAATTAAAGCAAAATCAGAAATTAATACTGCAAAAATTAAACAAGAATATTAGTTATTACTGCTACTGCACAACAGAAAAAACATCTCACACGAACTAAACTGCAGTAACTAACACATGCATACTACCTAACTAATAGTAATCTTTTAGTACTAGCATAGTATATTAGTATAGCGAAAGTAAAAATACTAACATAGAAAACTGCTGCCCAATTAATCAGAGTTGGTGCAAATATCCTCACTATCACAACGCAACCATCGCAACTTCCACAGCCACTAATACAACACATAAAACAGCGACTATTACTATAACGGATGCAGCCAATCAGAGGAGGCTAATTTAAACACGTGACAGGCACGCCTTGTTCGGATTTGTGTGTATCGAAGACACCCTTGCAGAATGTTTGTTCAAATTTATTAAAGGAGCAATTTGTTATTGAGGGAAATTTTTCAAAACAGAGAAAAAAATTTTTCATTTATTTATCATCTTAGAAACAGATTTTACATGCAAAAAACACGATTTTTTTAAAAATTGACTTTCATTTTCACTAATAAAACCATTTTCATTAAAATTGATGTACATTTGAATCAGTTGTTTATTTCGCTGTAAACCTTTTTGAAATATCTTCATAAACCCCCATGAAACATGCTTCCACAAAAAGAATTCCATCGTCCCAACGTGGACAGCAGTGACAGCCCGGTAATCTCATCCATTAAACGCGCGCGCACACACATGCAAACTCACCCATACAAACACACACATACAAACAAATACATACAAAAACAAAACATATACACACAAACACACGCAAAAACATACATACACTTACACATGCAAGACACAAACATTTACAAACACACACACATTTACTAAAACACGTGCACACACATACACACGCATTCACACGCGCAAACATACGGACAAACACGTACAAACACGTCCATCAACTTCAACAACTTAGCATACTGGATTTACACACTTTTTGTTTTTCCTACTTCTCAGAAGATTTCAAGTCGTCAGAGGCCATATTAATCATTTATCTGAAAACATGCATCCGTTTCATCAGCCACAGACGACAGATTGCATTAATTTGAAGCACGCGAGAGCACTGCATCTTCGGGCACCTCACATGCATAATGCCATCCTACTTTCCTTATTCAACAAGCTTTCAATGATAAATTGAGTGTGGAACTTGAATAATTGATGCAAACATTTTTGAGGTTTATTTTACGTTCTAATATCAAATCGTCATTATCTAGTCTTTTATAGGTTTTAAACATTTACTTTTTCAATTGTTGTTGAAATGACAGCTTAAGCGAAATTTCAATTATTCATGATAGTTCCAGCGCAGTCTCAATAAAGATTGTATCTGTCGCTGATTGCTTTTATCCAAATCCCACCTGTACTATTTGGAAAATGTGTTGGAGTTGTTTAAACGAAGTTTTTCAAATGATGCTTTATTGATTTTGAAGAATTTTGTTGTAATGTTTTACGATATAATTAATTTTTAAATTGCGTGAATTTAAAAATCTTAAAAATCAAATTTTATTAAGAATCTTTATTTTGCAAGTAAACAATTACAGAAATTCTAATATAAACCAGAATGTCATATTGAATTACTATTATGTTTTAACCTGACTCGACACATTTTAATCTTTGGTGTAAGCGAAAACTCCCTACACATAATAATGACAATAAAAATTTCGAATATTTAATCTTCAACATATTTTGTTTGAGAAAACAAGTAGATATACAAATAAGCCAAATAAATTATTTTTAATTTTAAAAATTGACCAAATTATGTATAAAAATAAATAAAATTGTCACCAAACGACAGAGAAACTCACAAGAATGGAATCATTTATTTATTTTTTTAACATTTTAATTTAATTTTTATTAACGTTAATTTTGCCTTATTTAGTTCTCGGTCTTTCATATCAATTTTCACATGTTTCTATTGTCAGTTTTAATCAATGTTAACTTTCAATTTTAAAAATTAATTTTTATCGTAACTGTTTTTATTTGTCGGTTTTAAACATTCCAGAATTTGTACCTTCGTTTTTCCGTTTGTGATATCTTGATCGTTAATATTTTTATTACGTGATTGATATTATTTCATGTGTGTTAAATTTTGCAATATCCCTTTTTCAACAATCCGTTTCAAATTTTTGATGTAGTGTAATTGTATGCGCGCATAAATACACACACACACACACATATATATATATATATATATATATATATATATATATATATGTCTGCATGTGTATGTGTGTGTATGTACATTAGTATATGCGTATTGCGTATGTGTTTCAAAAAGTTTGTTTTAAATTATAAACTTTTTACGCTATTCTTAACTTTTCTAGCATAAAGTTTGAATTTTTAAATCGCTTTGTCAAGTGTGTTGGGTGTGTTAGTTAAGAGTTATTCTTTTGGAAGGCGCTCTATATGAATTTATGGTTAATGAATTTTTTAAATGGCTTAATAAAATTTGTTTAAAGGGCGGATTAGCTCAGACAAAAAGTTATCACTAATAGGTCTCAAATCAAAAATTGTATCCGATTCAATACAGCAAGATTAGGTATCAATTAGAATGACTTAAATCTAGAAGAAATGGAAAATTCTTTGAGATCAAGTTGACAAATTCTGATTGGAGGACCTTCAAAATTAAAATATGCCAACTTTAAGAGGAACAGCAATCCTTGCTCATTGTTTACGTTATCAACGGGTCTTATATCAATGAAATTTTTACCATTATGGCTGTGACAGTCTTCAAAAACATGAACGCTTTTGTTATCATCTTGAATTTTAAGTAATCGTATTTATCATACCTTTTTCTTCTTTCTCCATTAACCGTAACGTACTTACTTGTTCTTCATTAATTGAATTATTGTCAAGATTGATATGCGGAGAGTACCCGTCACCAAATTAATTTTTTTTCAAAATTCTTTTAATTAATTTTTTATTATTAAAAGTTTAAAAAGTTAAAACAGTAAATTTATAATAACTTTAAAATTATACTTCAAAATATCATTGTTTAATTTGTTCTTTATTTAAAAATGCAATATTTTTTCTAAAACATCTTCAATCTATTAAAAAACCTGTTTTTATACAGTATAAAGTTATTTAAAGCCTTTATAAATTTAAATTACAAACTTTTTCATCCTTTATATTGTACTCAATTCATCACATGTCAGATGACCTTATTTTTATAAACGAAAACAAAAACTGCAAAAAACTATGAAGGAACTTCTGTTTATCTGTCGTCGGTACCCTACGCTGTGAAGACTTGAAAGGGCATTATTTATACATTCCTCATAAATTTCTCCATCAGATGATATTTCTACTTTCTTTTTTAAATTTCAAAATACATTTTAAAGAAAAAGTTATTCTTCCTTTTTAGTATTTAATTTTGTTCTCAAAAAATTAAACAAAAGTTTAATGAATTATATATAAATATTTTTGAAAGGCGGCTTTTTCGTGTTTTTCAGTAATTAACTTTTATTCTCAACAAAGTTAAACAAAGAATATGTTCCTACCTACGCTGAAAATAAAATTTTCAAATTTTTTTTTGTTATTATTAATCATCTC